TCTAAAGTCACCCAGGACACAGATTGTCCCAAAACAACAGATGACACACAACTATTTGGGTATGGTTTGCATTTGTGAGTTTTATTGGCCACAGATTACCTTCCTGAGTTACAAACGCTTGGCTCTATTGGTTTGAGATCTCTGAGCCCAGGCTCAGGGATGGGAGGGAGAAGTAGGGGAGAAGGTCCAGGGATGGTTAAGTTGCGAAGAGTCATCAGTTTACAAACATGCAGACAAAGCCGCCCAAGTCTGATTGACCTGGGATCAGGAAGGTTGGTTTCTCAATTCTGAACGGATTCAGGCAGAGCAAGACCAGGAAGTGGAGGGAAATGATAAAAGAGTGGAATTCACATCCACTTCACAGCCTGGCTTCAGCCTGTAGTCAGGAGGATGGACAAGCTGACCTCTCAGGGCTGCACCTGCCTCCCTGTTAAGCTGGGGAGTGTGCGGCCCACTGAGAAGCCACTTCACAGGTGCACGTGTCCTCCTTACAGTCTGCTGCTCAACCCCCCACTTATAAATTTTGTTTAAAATGGACTGAGGTTGGAGGGCCGGCCGAGTGGCGCGATGGTTAAGAACTGGCTTGGGACACCAGAGGGCCCCGGTTCGGATCCCACATATGAGGGCCAGTGACACTGCCCTCTACAGCTAAGATGCTGAACAACAGCTCGACCTGGGCTGCTGTGAGTCGCTGGCGACGGCGTAGGCTGCAGCCCCTGCTGCAGTGGGTTGCCATGGGCTACCGTGTGTAGCCAGCAGCCAGCGTGAGCGGCCAGCAGCCGCAGTGAGCGGCCATCCAGAAGCCGGCGACTGATCTGCCTCGCCCGGGAAGAGCGCAATGATGGTGCCAACTTGGGCCAGTGAAGCAACGTCCTCCACAACTAGACTGAAGAACAAAACGACAGCGACTTGTCTGTTCCCCTTCCCCCAATTCCCCAGCACTGTTCCCAACCCCCCAATTCTCCAATAAAAATCTTTAAAAAAAATAAATAAAATAAATAAAATAAAATGGACTGAGGTTGGAGATACAGGATCTGTGAGGATTTACACATGCTCCCTATCTCCCCACCGGTCTGGGAAAGTTGTAGGTGACTATGGTATTGGGGTTGTGGACTGAATGTTTGTGTCCCTCACCAAAATTCATAGGTTGAAATCTTCACACCCAGTGTGATGGTCTTAGGAGGCCGGGCCTCTGGGAGGTGATGAGGTCGGGAGGGTGGAGCCCTCACGAATGGGATTAATGCTCAAAAAGGAGGCTCCAGAGAGCTCTCCCTCACCCTTGTGAGAACACAGCAAGAAGATGTCCATCCATGAAGCGGGAAGAGGGCCGTCGCCAGACACCAAATCTGTCAGAAGCGCCTTGATCTGGGACTTCCCAGTGAGGCAGTGGGGGGGGGGGCGCAAATTCCTCCTTCCTCTGCGTTTTGTTCTGTTGAGGTCCTCCACGGATTGGGTGATACCCACCCACACTGGGGAGGGCAATCTCGCTTACTGAGTCCACCATTTCAAATGCTACCCTCATCCAGAAACACCCTCACAGACATACCCAGAAACTGGGCACCCCATGACCCATTCAAGGGGACACATAAAATTAACCCTCACAATTGGGCAGGAGAGGGCTTGTATTTACATGTCAAGTGATACCAGCATCACAGAGTCCTGCTATAAAGAGTTGATGAAGAGAAAGGGTAGGGGAGGGGAGGGGAAAGAGAGAGAGAGAGAGAATTGGAATTCCAAAATACTAACAATGGCTTTCTCTGTGTGGTGGTTTACAGGATGGGTTTTATTTTTCTGTACAATTACTTGTATTATCTTTTTGTTTTCCATAATAAACAAATATTAATCTTGAAATCCCCAAAGGGAAAAGTCATTACAGATAAAAACATTGATAAAAGCAGGGCTGTTCTTCCAGAACCCAGTGTGAAGTTACCTTCTCCATGGAAAAAACCATCCTGTTTGTACAGGGGACGTTTGTCATCCAGGCCTTTCCCTGCCTTCCTCTTATCTTGCTGACAAAGAGAAGGATGGAGAAGGGGGCTCTGAGCGAGTGAAGTCTATGGGAGCATGACTCAAGCAGCCCATTGTGAACGGAGTAATCGTAAGAATCAGTCTGGGAAATAAAAGACAACGCCAGGGGCCGGCCAAGTGGCACGCTGGTTAAGAACTGGCTTGGGACGCCAGAGGGCCCCAGTTCGGATCCCACATATGAGGGCCAGTGACTCTGCCCTCTACAGCTAAGATGCTGAACAACAGCTCAACCTGGAACTGTGCTGCCATGAGTCGCCAGTGGCAGCGTAGGCTGCAGCCCCTGCTGCAGTGGGTTGCCATGGGCTACCGTGTGTAGCCAGCAGCCAGCGTGAGCGGCCAGCAGCCGCAGTGAGCAGCCATCCAGAAGCCGGCGACTGATCTGCCTCGCCCGGGAAGAGCGCAATGATGGTGCCAACTTGGGCCAGTGAAGCAACGTCCTCCACAACTAGACTGAAGAACAAAACGACAGCAACTTGTCTGTTCCCCTTCCCCCAATTCCCCAGCACTGTTCCCATCTCCCCAATTCCCCAATAAAAAAAATCTTTAAAAAAAAAAATAAAAAAAGACAACACCAGGTCTTATAGCCAGGAGATGCCAGCTGAGCATTTTGATTCCAAGCGCTGCGGAAATCCTGGGGTCCCATTTGAACCCAGGGCCAACTGACTCAAGGTGACCTATACGCAAGAATCTAATCAAAATGTAGAACTAAAGTTAGGGGAAAACCTGTGAATGCTAACAGCCAAGGGTTAGTGTGAAAGCTAGTGGATCTACCTGTGGTGGTTCTTGCTCTGTAAGATGATCTGTTTAAATGTTGAAGAATGGCCATGTCAATTTGTCCTTTTCATTAAAGCAGTAGATGACCTTAATGCAATGCCTAGCTCATTGTGGGCAATTTTAAGGATAGAGAGAGAAGTTAGGTGGGAAGTTTAGAGAATTTTAGACTGGGTGGTCAAGGAAGACTTCTGTGGGGACTTGACAGTGAGCAGAGATCAAGATGAAATGAGCAGGCAAGCCATGTACATAACTGGGATGAGAGTGTTCCAAGAAGAAGAGACAGTTAGTGCAAAGGCCCTGGGGTAGGAATGAACTTGAGGGTGTTTAGGAAAGAGCAGAGAGGCCAATGAGGCTGGAATGGAATGAGCCTGAGGGAGTGGTAAGAAGTGAGGTTGGAGTGAGAGCCAGGGGCCGGACTGTGCCAGCCTTCTGGGCTATGAGAAGGCTGTGCCTCTCACTGTGCAGTGTGATGGGAGCTATTGAGTGCTTGGAGTAGGGGAATGGCATGATCCAATTGATGCTTCAAAAGGGTCCCCCGGTTACTGAGATCTCAGAAAAATATGTTGTATTAGTCCATTATAGCTGTGTAAAAAATTGCCACAAACCCAACAGCTTAAAAAAACCACACACACACCCATTTTTCCAATCTTAGAGCTCTATAGTTCAAAAGTCTGAGCAGGCTAGGCTCAGTTCCCTGCTCCAGGTCCCACAAGGTCAAAACCAAGATGTTGGCCGAGTGGGCTCTTAGCAGAAGGCTCTGAGGTAAAAGCTACTTCCAAACTCATTCAGGTTGTTGCAGAATTCAGTTCCTTGCAGGTGTGGGGGGAGAACAAAGTTGCCTGTTACCCTCAAGATACTTCTGGCTGGTCCAATAATCAAATAGACATGAGACAAATTAACAAGAGAAAGTCACCAAATTTAATACATATGTATGTACGGGAACCTCACATATATGAGAGGGTCAGAGACCTCACATGCAGGAGCAGTTCAGAGATAGAATGGGAACATAGGTAGATAAGACATCCTGAGCTGTGGGTGAGGTAAGGTGCCTTAGGGGCGTCAAAGGGTCACTGTAGGACAATAAGGTTAGATGCTTAGTAAATAGAAGTTTGTCCTGCCCTGTAGATAGGTCAAAAGGGGTTATCTCTGATAATCTCTTATTCCGGGCAAGGTCCCTCATTCAAGTTCGTTCGGGTAGTCAAAGGAGGGGCAGAAGTTTCTCTCCAGCTTGAAGCTAAAATTGCTTTCAGCTCAAAATAATCTACGCCATTGAGGCACATCTTGGGGTGACTTGTCTGAACCCCCCACAAGGGTGTGGGGCTGAGGTCCGTGTTTGCCTGCTGGCCATTGATGGGGATCGCTCTCTGCTCCTCCAGGCTTCCCACATTCCTTCTTCAAAGCCAGCAAGGGCATGTGGAGTCCTTGGACCTCGAATCTCTTTGACCCTACACACGTGTGATGGATGGTTTAGTTCTACTTGCAAGAAAGCTATTTGGGTATGTGCATGTCTCTCTAATGTGGAACTTGAAAATCAGGAGTTATAAGGTCAACAATACCAGCCTCCGTCGCACTCTTTCCGAGCATTTATTAAGCACTCTGTATTCCTAAGAGTGTTGTGTATTGTGGAAGGATTAAAACAACAACAACAAAAAAAAACAAAACCAACAACAGAAAATTTCATCTCACTGGGGAGCTGAGACTAATGATGCAGAACGCAGGCAGTGGATTTGGTAAAATACAAGAGAACTCCGTGCTAAAGGATGTAAAGTGGGAAGAATCTGGCGGGGGTGGGGGGGGTTGCTTCTATGTTTACGCGTCTCCCACCAGACCCATTCCTATTTTCAGGTGCCTCGCCCAGCAATGAGCAGGCATTTCGTAAATATGTGTTCAGGAAGTGAACAAGAGGATGAACCTATGTGCTTCAGTTTTCCTACCTGAAAAATAGGGGTATTGGCCTCCCCACAGGCTTGTGGGAAGACCAGACACAGAAGGACATGCACACTTGGCAAAAAGCAAAGCAGGTTCATATGTCAGTGTCATTTATTTGTGGGACTGTCAGAGTTCAGCTTAGACATGCCCCAAGGAGAGAGATGGGGGAAGACCATTCAAATCAAAGGCTAACAAGTGGCCAGCTTTCCTAAGGAATGCCCCGAGGGGCCCTAGGAGGAAGGGCAAGGGTCTCAGAGGGCTGAGTGGGCATGATGAAGGCAACCTTCACCTTCATAACCCAACAAAGGGCCCCCTGCCTGCAGCTGGCCAAGGACCAAGGTCAGTTCTGCCCTTGAAGATAGCGGTTGGCCAGTGGTTGCTTGGGTCTAGGAATAATATTTTAACACCTATGGGCTTTATTCATAATATCTCCAAACTACAAACCACTTAAATGTCTCTCAGTGGTAGAATGGATAAACAAATTGTGGTATTTCATATAATGGAATACTACTCAGGAAACTTTTTTTTTTAAAGCACAAACTGCTGATAAATGCAACACATGGCTGAATGTCAAAAGCATCACATTGAGAAAAAGTGGCCAGACACAAAAGGGCACATCTTGCATGATTCTATTTATATGAGCATCAAGAAAAAGCAAAGCTAACCTGTGATGGACAAGTTAGCACAGAGGTTATCCTGGGGTGGGAGGGGGGGAATGACTGGAGAAGGGCACAAGGAAAGTTTCTGGGGTGCTGGCAGTGTGCTATCTTTTTTTTATTTTAAGGTTTTATTGAGGAATTGGGGGAGGGGAACAGCGCTGGGGAATCGGGGGAGGGGAACAGACAAGCTACTGTCCTTTTGTTCTTCAGTCTAGTTGTGGAGGACGTTGCTTCACTGGCTCATGGTGGTATTATCATTGCGCTCTTCCTGGCTGAGGCAGTTGGTTGCCAGCCATTGGATGGCAGCTTACGGCAGCTCTCACCAGCTACTGGCTGCTCACGCTGGCTGCCGGCCACACACGGTACTTCACGTCAGTCCACTGCAGCAGGGGTTGCAGCCTACGCCATCACCGGCGACTCATGGCAGCCCAGCTCCAGGTCAAGCTGTTGTTCACTATCTTAGCTGTAAAGGGCACAGCATCACTGGCCCTCATGTGGGATCCGAACTGGGGCCCTGCTGCTCAGAGCTGGCATCCCAAGCCAACTCTTAACCAAGGCTCCACTCAGCTGGCCCGGCAGTGTGCTATCTTTTGATCTGGGTGGTGGTTACTGGGGTGTGTAACGTGAAAATTCATCAAGTTGTTCACGTGAGATTTTGTTCACGTGAGATTTGTGCATTTTGCTATAAATCATACCTATAAAAAGGAGTAAAATTGCACCAACCACGTATTGAACAATATATTAGCACTGTAAATCTATTACCTCCAACCCTGGGAGGTAAGCTTCAGGACTCCTACGGAATAGATAAAAAGACTGAAGCTTCTTCGTCTTCCAAGAGCATAGAGTTAGGAAGAAGCAAGGCAAGATTTCAACCTGTTTTCATGGCCTGACTCCATCCCTTTTCTATCAGAAAAGCAGCAGGTCTGGGGTGGCGCCTATGCAATGCTTGCCCACAGTCGGCTCACCGTTCTTTTCTAAGTTGAACTAGAATGATCCAGTTGTGGGAGTTTGCCTTCTCTATTCCTGAATTCTTTGTGCCTGGTGACAAAGTGGCTCCAGACATGGTCCATGCAACCCTTGCCTAGAGACCCCATGTCTTTCTGTCTTCACTAGATAGCAGGAAGCCTTGAGCCCTGGAGGGTGGGAATAAAATGCCTCCCAGCCCACTTGCTCCCCACCGAAGCCCTCCACTCAATAAGATGTCTCCAATCTCTACCCTAGCCTCCAGCAGGAAGAAGTTAGATGGTGCGCGAATCAGGCCCAAATAGCCTTCGGGTGACAAGCGCTCACTCTATAACTGAACAACGGCGATAGGCTGATGTTAATCTTGCAGGCTGTGTGCGTTTAATAAAGTATTAATATGAAGACCAGATTGCTTCTCCTGCCAAGCAGTCAGAGTGAGATTAGCAAGGAGGGAGGCTCTGAGTGCTCTCCGGGGAGGACGGTGCCCCAAAGACTCTCCTGTATGAGCTAAGATTTTTTTTTTTTTTGCTGTTGCAGAATAAATGCATTCTGCCAGGGGTGACCATAAAAGAAGTTTCTTCTAGGATGCCAGCACGAAATGAAAATAGGTCCCGGAGGGCAGGCCCGATGCTTTGGTGGAGTGCATTGATCCATTTCAGTGGCAGAGAAGTCTGTGGAAGGCAGGTGTAGGCACAGCTGGTGCTGGGGTCATGCTGGGGGGAGCTTCCCAGCTATCTGTAGTCCCAGCTTCAGGTGGCTGGTCCTGAGGCTCAGAGACTCTCTCCGTCTCCCGAGCCTGGGAACTCTGAGTGCACATTATACCTTCCAGAAAGTTGCTTTCATCCAATCACTTTAGGGCTTCTCCACCTCAGCACGACTTACATTTGGGGCCCAATGATTCTTGGTTGTGGGGGGCCAGCCTATGCATTGTAGGATGTTTAGTAGCAACCCTGGTCTGTGCCTGAGAGTTGCCAGTAGCAGCTCCCCCATGAGTTGTGACAACCAAAAATACCTTCAGACATTGCCAAATGTCCCCTGGGGGCGGAGGGGAGGACAAAAATCGCCCCTGGTTGGGACCACTCTGCTTTATCAGACTATTTCTAACAGCTGCTGGGATGCAGGTGTAGAATCTCACTGGACCAGTGGGACTGCTACCCTGATAACAGCTGCCAAGCTTGATGGGTCTGAACTCAGGGGCTTTCATTCTGCAAAATGAGCCCGTTCCCTAACTCTTCAGTGGGGTGACTGTCATGAGTTTATTTAGAACTGTTGCAGATCCAGAGCAAAGCCACACTTCCTTCCAACCATCCCTTAAAATAATAGGTTGAAGGAAATAGAATTGTTACTGAGAAAATTCCCTTTGCAAATGTCCAGGCCCTTTGGTACCAACCTGAGGAAAATCTAGTCTAATATGGGTTGCCTTTTGGGGAGAGAAAAATAAAAGGCCAAAAAATTAAGGATTCCTTTATTGTGCCTTTAGCGTCTGAGCCCAGCAATTAATTCTTATATGCTAAAGGCCTTCTGTGTTTATGAGGCATTATTATTTCATGTAGGCCTATTTTAAATTGCAATTTTTTTCATTAAGTTGCCTCATTTTACTGATTAAGACCAGTTTACGACCCAGCTTAGACTGTGTTCCTTGAGTAATAACTATTTTTCTTTTAAAATATTCCTTAATAACCTATCATCTATATTTTAAATTTTATTCCAAGTCAGAGAACCCTCCCCATTGCTTATGAGTCTGTCCTCATGATTCTGAGTCATGTCCGAGGACGCAGGGCTGCCGGGCCTTCTGTGCTTCAAAAATCTCCATGAGGAAACAAAGCAGCATCGAGTGCTGACTTCTCAGCCTCTGTGCTCCTGAGGCTTATCTGAAACAGCCAACAAAAAATGGGCCCTCTGCCCCCACAGCTTTCTAGGAAACTCCTTGAAACTGCCTTGCTGGTAGAAGAGGATGGAGGGCGTGGAGAAGTGGGGTGCTGACGCAGGAGAGGGTTGGCACTGTCACTGTGTGCCAGGCACTGCGCTAAACCCTTTGCCAGGGCCATCTCCCTGCATCACCCCCTGCACCCTGCCCAGCCCTAAGAAGGAAAGGCAATGATCCCCATTTGGCAGAGGTGGAAACTGAGGCTCAGAGCAGTGAAATGGCTTCCTCGGGGTTGCTGTGATAGAGTCAGAAGCTGTCTCCAGGTCTGTCTGCTTCCTAAGCCCAAGGTCATAGCCTCTTGGCACCAGTGGTCCCTGACAATATCCCCATACAAAGAAGGAGAGCAACTGTTCTCATCGCTTGTCCGCTTTTCAGATCACTTTCCCCTCTATCTTCTGATCTCGGCATCGCCACTGCCCTGAGAAATAAGCACCCTAAGCCCCTTTGTTCAGATGAGTTGACTGAGGACCCAACACCGGGAGGGACTTGCCCTCTGTGTCCCTGGCAGAACAAGGGCTATACCCAGGTCCTTGGCTTCAAGGTCTGGGCGGTTTCCTTTCCTTCCTGCCACTGCCTGTGGCTTCCCCATTGTTGGCTGCACCTGGTGGGCCCTGGCCCCAGAGAGAGCACTGCAGACACAGCCATAGCTGGCCAGGGCAGCTCACGGGCACCCTGTATCACTTCGCTCTGTTGTCCTTCTTACCCCCCGCAGTTGTGGCTATTCTGTGGATGCTGGACTGACCTGGGGATAAGGATATTGTGATTCCCCTCACCTACTTTCAAGGACACAGAGAAGGTTCCAGAGGGTAATAGCAGGCTGTAGGTGAAAGACAGTCAAAGATGAAACACCGGTGTGATGGAAGAGTCACAGGACTATGCTTCAGGAGGCCTGGGTCCTGGTATTAAAATTGTCTGTTAATTGTCTCTGTGACCTTAGTCAAGGCCCTTCCGTTCTCTGGGCCTCAGCTAACCCATCTATATAACAAAAGGGTTTTAATTCAAGATCATGAAGGCCACGCCCCTGTGATATTCTGTGTTGGGGAACCATGGTTTGGAAATCCAAGTAAATGACTGTATAGCCCAACCCGTTGATCCTCTTCATTCATTTGCTCATTTACTTGTTTTTTCACCAAGAACCTACTGTGTACCTACTATGTGCAACATATTAGTAGAATGTATTAGTCAAATAACTGGTGTAACCAAGCACTCCAAAATCTCAGTGGCCTAACACAATAATATTTTGTTTTTCACTCATGTCACTATCTGCTGGGGGCAATGGGAGGACATCGCTCCACACTGTCACTCAAGTATCCCAGTTCTTTCCATCCTATGGCTCTGCCCTCCTCCGGGTTCTCAGAGCCCTCTCTATCCAGGCAGCAGGTGGAGAAAGGGAGTGTGGAGGACGGCATGGGAGGTTTCTAGGGGCCAGGCCAAGAAGCCATATTCCCCTGGCAAGGAGTTAGTCACACGGTCCCACCAAACTGCAAAGGAGGATGGGAAATGTGGTCGGGCTGAGGACCTGAGAGGCAAAGGCAATTGGGCTTGGGGAGCACCCCGCAGCCTGTATGAGTTTGAGGAGCACACACAGCACAGCGCAGGCACTGGGACAAGCAGGAGAACACGAGGGCCCAGATGGAGCTGTGACTGGCAGGTCCAGCATCAGTATCCTACGCCATCAGCCTTGTCAAGCCAGGACATGCTGCCTAACGAAGCCTCCCCAGTCCCATCTCCTTCCCTTGCAGACATCTCAGAGGCAAAAGCACTGACTGAACAAGCCCTCCCTTGCCTGG